TTYYTTTTTTTTCTTTTTTAATATGTATTTTTTAGTTGCAGAAGGACATAATACCTTTGTGCTTTTTTTAATATTTATTTTTTAGTTTTTTCGGCGGACACAACATCTTTGTATGAGAGAGAGAGAGAGAATTTTTTTTAAATGTTTATTTAAAAAAATATCTTTTTTTTTTTTTAACGTGGTGTTGAGGATCGAACCCAGCATCCTGCGCATGCCAGGCGAGCATGCTACAAGCCACATCCCCAGCCCCCTTTGTTTTTTTTAAATATTTATTTTTTAGTTGGACACAATATCTTTATTTATTTATTTCTATGTGCTGAGGATCGAACCCAGGGCCTCACATGTGCTAGGCGAGTGCTGTACCGCTGAGCCACAACCCCAGCTCCCTTTGTTTTTATTTATTTATTTTTATGTGGTGCTGAGGATGGAACCCAGGGCTTCGCACACTCCAGGTGAGCACTCTACCACTGAGCCACATCCCCAGCCCCTCCAAGGGCAGCTTTCTTTATATTTATCCTGCTTGGGTTGACCAAACTTCTTAGAATTGCATGTTAAAGTTTTTCATCATTTTGGTGGGATTTTTCTAACATTTATATATATATATTTTTTTCTCATTCTTTTTCTCTCTTGCTCGCTTTATTTTGTACTCATGATTTAAGATTGAATCCAGGAGCACTTACCCACCAAGCCACATCCCCAGCCCTTTTTATTTTTTACTTAGACAAGGTTTTGCTAACCCTCCCTCCTCAGTCTCCCCAGTGCTGGGTCACAGGTATGTGTCACCATGCCCCACTCATTTTCTCTTTCCTTCTTCTGAGATTCCAAATAATGTATGTAATTGCACTTGATGTGCCCCGCCATTCTTTTTCTGATCTTTATTCTCTCCAATCTTCTAGCTGGATGACTTCCTGGGGCTCTTTCTTCAAGATTGCTGATCCTTTTCCAGCCATGATACTAAACCCATGATCCTTTCCCAGATGGTGACTGTAGGTAATGACAATGTGCTGTACTCTTCAAAAAGCTCAAAGAAAGGATTTTGAAAGTTTTCACCAAAACTGTAAAAATGTACTTTTTATGTTTCTCAGTAATATAATTTCTATTTGATTCTTTTCAATAATTCAACTTCTCTGGTGAGAGAAGTATTTATTAATTTAAAAATATGCTTTAAGATTTTGAACATAACAACTGTATTAAAGATCACTGTGGTATGGGGAACCCAGGGACACTCTACCACTGTGCTAYGCCCCCAGTCCTTTTTACTTATTTATTTTACTTTGAGACAGGGCCTTGCTAAGGTGCTAAGGCTGGCCTCAAGTTTGTGATCCTCCTGCCTCAGCCTCCTGAGCCACTAGATCACAAGTGTGTACCTGGCAAAGGCTCTATCTTTTATTTATTTATTATTTATGGTTCCAGGGATTGAACTCAGGGGCACTAGGCTACTGAGTCATATCCACAGCCCTATTTGGTATTTTATTAGAGACAGAGACTCACTGGGTCGCTTAGTAGCTCACTAAATTGCTGAGGCTAGCTTTGAACTCACAATCCTCTTGCCTCTGCCTCCTGAGCCACTGGGATTACAGGCATGTGCTACCATGCCCAGCCAAGGCTCTATCTTTTAAATCCAACACCTGTGTCAATCTGGAATCTTTTCTGCTGATTGTATTTTCTCTCTCACTTTGTTGCTGTGTCTTGCTGGAGAACCACAGRGTGTCTTGACCATTCGGTGACCAGGCAGCTGCAGGCTTCCCCATCCGGTTTGAGCCCAAGCAGAGGCCTTGAACCTTCCTAGATGCCAGTGGAGATACTTATGTTGTCTAAAACATGGAAAGAAACTGGCCCCAACCTGAGCCGAAGTTCTGTGAACCCTCCTGTCAACCCCTTGCCTGACCGCTGGCTGTGGCCACGCCAGGCTCAGCACCCTCTCCCTCTCGGTTGTGAGGATGAACTCTGCCCTCTCTAGGTATGCTGCCCTGGCAAGTGCCTGGCACTGCTCTGCCCAGCCTTTGGTGCTTCTCTCTGAGGTCCCTCTGGCTCCACCTCAGGATGGTATGGGCATGCCTTGTGGACCTCCCCTGCTGCCTCTTTGGGGACAACTCTAGCTGAAGGCTTGGTGGGACAGAACAGTACATTTACCTGTTTTGCACATCTGGCCACTTCATGCTGGACGTCCTGGACGTCATGTGGCAGGGAGTCTGGGTCTCAAGGTCCTGTCCCTCCAGTGTCGACTGTAGTCTGTCCCTAGTCCCGTTTCTGGAGGTCCAGCTAAGTGCCCAGAGTGTTTCCAAGGGGGGTCGCAGGGGGCTTCTCCATCCCTCAGTGCGCTCCCTGCGCTCTGCCTTCCTGTTCTGCTGATTCCAGCTGCCCCTGCCGCTCCCCCTCAGCCCAGCAGCAGTGCCGAGCTTCCTGCTGCAGGTGGCCTCCCTGTCTGTGGACAGGCTGGCAACTGCTCCAAGCAGAAAGCCAGAACCTGGGCCACCTCGTGGGCCTCCCTTCTCACAGAGTCTGCCTTGTGCTGCCTGCTGCCTGGTGCCTGGAAACAGTCCCTCCTGGACTTGTCCAGCTTCGTGGTTGTTCATGGTGGAGGTCAAGGCCGGGACTGGTCACAGGAAAAAGCGGGTTTTCTAGGATTCCATTTCGCAACTGTTCCTTGGTCCCCAACTTTATTGAAGATGTTTCCTGTAGACGACTTACCGTTGACAGCTCTGTTTCTGACCGCCTCGTGCCATTCTGGACCTGACCACCAAGAAGCCTGCAGCTCAAGAATGCAAGCTGGATTCCATTTACAGACACCAGCACAGAGAATGCTGGCCCAGGGCTGCTCTCCACGGCTTTCCTGGTCATGATTAGCTTGATCTAAAGCTTGATCTAAGCTTCCTTGGTGTTTACATTTGAAGTGTTGCTGGCATGACATCAGGAGAACGGGACCCACTCCTTCCCTGATCGATGTCCAATGGCATCCTCAGGGAAGTCTAGGCACCAGGAACAGGAAACACAATGAGAACTAGCCCGCACACACCCAGTGTCATTTGTGCCACCAAGTGGACCACACCACCTGTCTTCCCATCTGCCCATCCACCCACCTGTTACTGGAGCTTGTTTCTAGGCAGAGACAAGTTCCGTGAGGTGTCCCTGTGAGCTCATACTTGGGAGGGGCAATAAGATGGCCATATAAACAGAAAATCTCAACATAGYGTCACTAGTGTGCAGAGAGGTAAGGATAGGCATCGAGGGGATCAAGGGACACAGGTGGATGGTCCAGGAAGGGGGTGCCTGGCTGTGTCTYCAGCATGGGAGATGTCGTGGGAGATAACACCTCCTGACAGACACCCTCTGAGCAGAAGGTGGCTTGATCCCCAGGTCGTTCAGTTGGGATGACACACTCAGATCTTCCTTTGAGGAAGAGCTGGGGGCACAGCATGTGGTAGGTGGGCAGAGGGAGACTGAGGCAGGGTGTGGGGACGGGGACTGGCCAGGGCCGGGGAGTGGAAAGGGGACAGAGGAGTGAGGCCTCCAGGGCAGCCCTGGTGTGCAGTCAGATCAACAGGCCCACGCACAGCGCTCGCTGCTGGGTCGCAGCGTAAGACGACACGGGAACACAGTTCACCTGCAGCACTGCCTGGTCAGAGCAAAAATCCTGGCCGGGCATGACGGCACACACCTGCTCCTTGGGGGGCTGAGGCAGGTGGGTCACTTCRAACTGGGAGTTCAAGGCTGCTGTCCAGGCTGGACCCCAACTCAAAACAGAACAAAACAAAAAAACCTGAGGGAAGGCAGTGTGGGGGGGGAGCAGCCAGGTAGTAGAGCAACTGTGGTGGCAAAGATGGATGGGTCTTTCCAAATATCCAGTAGAATGTTTTGAATGTTCCTGTGCAAAGCAGTGGCCAGTGTCTGAGGGGATGGAACGGTCAGTCCCACTGACCCGAACCTGGCACTTGGTACACACAGAGCAGAACATCGCCTATGCCCACTAAACGTGCTGTTCTCATAGGTCCACAACAATCAAAAGCAAAAAAGCAACCGCAGGTGGTCGCCCCGCCTGCCCCACCTGCCCTGCACGCCTCCTCCCCCACCCCAGAGGGGGACCCTGAGTGTCCCCTTGGTCTTCCCGCTCTACCTGGTTCTGGCTGCCGACTCAYAGGCCCTGGGCTCACTGCTGCAGTTCATGCAGGAGTGCTGCTCATGGTGTGCGTGTACGCCGTGTATGTGGTCACATTCCCTTTCAGCTGCCTCTAACTTTTTAAATCGTGTGTTTATTTCCTTTGTTTTTAGGTATCTGTGAAGTGCCCTTCAGAAATAACACAGCATCAGTGACCTTCTCGGCCCTTTGCACCTGGGGCCCCTGCTCAGCAGCCTGCTCTCCCCAGTGCTGTCCAGGTGGGCTGCCTCCAGGCCAGGACCCAGCAGTGTTCAGACAGAGCATGTGGGAGGCAGGTTCCTGAGTCCCCGGGTATGGGAAAATGCCTCTGTTCCGTCAGAGCACTCAACTGTGGGCGGGAAACTGTTCTCAAAACTCAGAGGCCCCGGCCATGGTCTCCCACTGTCCAGATCACTGTGGAAAGCTGGTGCCCTCCCGTGATCAGTCCTTCACAGACCTTACATTTGGTCCTGCTCCGCTGCCTGTCTGAAAGTTTTCAGGATCTTCAATGTAAACTCACTGTCTGCAGCTTCATAATGAGGGACTTGGAGTGGGTTTTCCCTCTGTCATCTGCTCAGCATTCTAGGGCCTCTCAATTTGGACAACAATACCCTTCTATTTGAGAGGTATTTTCTTGTTATTTGTGTGTGTGTGCGCGAGTGTGTGCACGTGTGTGTGGGCGTATGTTGCTGGGGATGGAACCCAGGTCTTCATGCATGCTAGGCAARTGCTCTAACACTGAGCTACTTTTTGTTTTGAGACAGGATCTTGCTAAGTTGCCCAGGCTGGCCTCAAACTTATGGTCCTCCTGTCTCAATCTCCTGAGTAGCTGGGATCACAGGTGTGCACAACCATACCTGGCTTAGGTTGTTTCTTTAGGACCTGCTTTATCCTGCAACCTGGAGGGCAGACAAAGGTAAATTTTACATAACAAAATTCACTAAAAGTTTTTTGCTTTCTATTATTAATGGATGCCAGCAACCCTCCATAATGCCAGTGATAAAAYACTCCTCAGGAAAGTACCTTTGGTTAGTTAAGTGCAGGATTTGCTGATGTGACTGAGCTCTGATGTCAGAGCTTGTCCCACCCTTTCATCAACTTTGTACGCTATCTGGAAACCAGCTGAACTGTTTCCAGAGGAAGTTCCTAAAACTTGGGTGCARTATGTGCTTCCAGTCCTGGTGAAACTTTGCACCATGGCGCCTGTGTTTAACAGCAAAACAGACGTTAGCTGTGCTTGAGGTATGTCAATGGTCAGTCCGGGGGTCCCTTGGGTTTTTATTCGACCTTTTGATTTTTGACTGCAAAGAAGTCTGAAGGCTGCTAGGATTGTATAGATTCATAATTTCTAGAATGTACTGTGACGTAGAAACTTCATGTACCTTTTCTAAACACTGTATCCTGGGCCTGCGGTTCTTCCTGTGGCTTTAAGTGAAAGAAAATTTCAGTTTAATAGAAGGTGTTCTTGCCAGGCATGGTGGCACACACCTGTAATCCCAGTGGCTCTGGAGGCTGAGGCAGGAGGGTCACTAGTTCAAAGCCAGCCTCAGCAAGGGTGAGATGCTAAGCAACTCAGTGAGACCCTGTCTTTAAATAAAATACAAAAATGGGCTTGGGATGTGGCTCAGTGCTCAAGTGCCCCGAGTTCAATCCCTGGTACTCTAAAATAAAATAAAATAAAATAAAATAAAATAAAATAAAAGGTATTCTTGGGCTGGGGTTGTGCCTCAGAGGTAGAGCGCTCCCCTAGCACGTGTGAGGTCCTGGTTTCGATCCTCAGTACCACATAAAAAAAAAAATAAATAAAATAAAGGTATTGTGTGTAACTACAACTAAAAATAAATATTTTTAAAAAGGTATTCTTTGATCAACTAGGAGGAAAAATTGATAAATATGGATGAATAGTCTATTTTGGTTTTTGGTACCGGGAATTGAAGCCAGGAGTGCTTAACCACTGAGCCATATCCCCAGCCCTATTTTGAGACAGTCTCACTAAGGACTTTGCTAAATTACTGAGGCTAACCTTGAACTAGTGATCCTCCTGCCTCAGCCTCTGAAGCCACTGGGATTATAGGTGTGTGCCACCGCACCTAGCTAAAAGTTTTTTTTTTAATATTTATTTTAAAGTTTTAGTTGGGCATAATACCTTTATTTTACTTATTTTTTTTTTAATGTGGTGCTGAAGATCAAACCCAGGGTCTTACATATTCGAGGCAAGTGCTCTGCCACTGAGCCTCAACCCCGCCCCCTAAAATGTTTTTTTTTTTTTAAATAGTTTTAGTTGTAGATGGGCACAATAACTTTATTTTGTTTATTAATTTTTTTATGTGGTGCTGAGGATGGAACCCACTACCTCACACATGCCAGGCAAGCGCTCTACCACTGAGACACAAGCCCAGCTCCAAAATGGGGTTTTTCACAGTGTTAAATTTTCAAAAACAGAAATGACTACAATGTTACCAATTCCCACAGGCACCATGCTGGTGTGTGGGTGATGCCTCCCTTCCCACTGTGGGGTTCAGTGCTGTGGCCTCTTGCACCCTGGGTGTGTAGGTGGAGTCCAGGGAGGGCAAGGTAGGCGCCAGCCCCCCAGCTTTCTCCAGCAGGCCTCCCAAGTCTGCCCCACTAGCTGCTGAGCAGAGGGGCCGGGACTGGGTCAGGAACAAGGTGGGAAGATAGCCAAGGGGAGAGGAGGCCAGAGGTGGAAGGGGCAGACCTAACAGCTAGGCCTGTGCACAGGGGCAGGGGCAGAGGTGCCAGCTGGTCTGGACCCTGGCCCAGGGTAGAAAAGCAGAGAAGGTGGGAGTAGGGTTGGGAGGATGGTGTCCTGGGGCTAGGAGCACCCAGTTGCCTCAGGGTAGAGGGGAGCCCCTCAGGCCGCAGGAGCATCTCTGACACAGGACTGTGTGGCCTCACCAGGTGACCACACTTGCTGGCTCAGGAGTGTGGGTTACCATGAGACCAGCATGCATGGTTCTGACAGCTGGTCAGGATGCAGGTCACGCCTTCTACTCCACTGCTGGGCAGATGGCCCCCGACCAGCCAGGGCAGTAGTTTCCATTCTGGCCAGCAGGTGGCAGGAGAGGCCACAGGGACCTGAGCTCTGTTCAATGCCTGCCTTTCAGCCAGCAAGGAAACAGGGCCCCAGGCCAGACCCCAGGCATGACCTGGAGAGCTCCCATGAAGGAACAGCTTCCACTTCCTCAGTAAGGACAAGGGTGTAGGGAGTGGAAAATCAGGGTCACCAGGAGAGAGGCCAGCTTCATCCTAAAATCCAAAAAAGAGGACTTAAAAATAGCACACTACAGGGACCCAGCCACATCAATGTTTAMAGCAGCACAGTTCACAGCAGCTAAACTGTGGAGCCAACCTAGAAGCCCTTCAGTAGATGAATGGATAAAAAAATGTGGCAAATATACACAATAGAATATTACTCAGCAATAAAAGAGAACAAAATCATGGCATTTGCAGGTAAATGGATGGCGTTGGAGAAGATAATGCTAAGTGAAGTTAGCCAGTCCCCCCAAAAAACAACGCCAAATGTTTTCTCTGATATAAGGAGGCTGACTCATAGTGGGGTAAGGAGGGGGAGCATGGGAGGAATAGATGAATTCTAGATAGGGCAGAGGGGTGGGAGGGGAAGGGAAGGGGGCAGGGGGTTAGCAAGGATGTTGGAATGTGATGGACCTCATTATACAAAGTACATGTATGMAGATATGAAACTGGGTGTCCACATAATTCATAAACAAACAGAGATATGAAAAATTGTGGTATATATGTGTAATAAGAATTGCAATGGGGCTGGGGATGTGGCTCAAGCGGCAGCGCGCTCACCTGGCATGCGTGCGGCCGGAGTTCGATCCTCAGCACCACATACAAACAAAGATGTTGTGTCCGCCAAATACTAAAAAATAAATATTAAAATTCTCTCTCTCTCCCTCTCTCTTTAAAAAAATAAAATCAAATTAAAGCAAGCTTATAAAAAAATTGCAATGTAAAAAAAAACCACCAAAGTACATGTATAAAGGCATGAATTGGCATGAACATACTTTATACAAAAATATGAAAAACTGTACTCTATTTGTATAATAAGAATTGTAATGCATTCTACTGTTGTGTATTTAAAAAAATAAAATCAATAAAACAACAACAACAAAAAATCCAAAAGAGGCCCAGGATATGCCAACCAGGGTAGGAGGGGTGCCAGGTGAGGGCTGCTGCTGTAGAGGCCTGGCCAGGCTGGGCCTTTGGCTCTGGTGTGAGGTGGCCCTGAGGCTGGCTGAGGGTCACACTGGAGCAGGTCTGCACCTCAGGCGTCATCGTGGATGAGGGAACTGAGGAGTCTTCTTTACTTTCTTCTTGGTCTTTTCTGTAGTTTCCAGACCTCCCCAAGTGACCTGTGTTGCTTACAGCAAAAACTTTGGGGTCACTGAGGAGTGAACCCAGGGAGCCTTTCCACCACACTGCACCCCAAGTCCTCTTTATTTTGAGAYAGTCTTGCTGAGGTTGGCTGGAATTTTGAGCTTCTGGAGTCCCTGGATCATAGGTGTGACTACTGTGCCTGACCAGAAACATTCTGACGTGGAGACGCATGGGAAACATAAGAAGGTTTGTTCAGAATGGGACCTGAGCAGGCGGCTGCCTGCCGTACCATCCCTACTGATGCCCGTGTTGCCTCAGGAGCTCACCCTCATACATGGTCTCCTGAGGGGTGGTCCTGAACTGACCCTTTAGACATTTGAGCCACTACCTGGGGGTGAGACCTGCCCCATCCCTGCACCCAGGAGGCAGCCCACCTGCTGGCCCCAGAGCAATGCCGCAGGAAGTTTGTCACTGTCTTTCCCTTCACTAGGGTCCCCCCCAACACCCTACAGGGCTCCAGGAGATGCTGCACCTCCAGCTGGCTGTAGGCTGTGCACTGACCTAGGGAAAAGCCCCCACGGTGTGCTTGTGTGGGGGACCCTGGCTTGGAGCTGTTTTGGCCTTTCYAGGAGTGCACCTATCAGAGAGTGGCAGACAGGGCAGCTAGTGTCTTTCAGGAGTGGCAGCCCAAGGCAATTTTCAAATGACTGAGGAAAAAGAGCCACTTTTAGGGTAAGCAAGGGGACTGTGGCCTCTGTGAGGTGGACTCCCTCCCTGGGAGCAGCACCATTACATGAGGGGCATCCTGTGTATAGCCTTTGTGCCTCCTGCTCCCACATGCAAGTTGGCTGTCACCCCAAAGGCCCGAGGGAGTAAAGGACGTGAGGCATGGGCCTCAAGGACAGAGGCCCTGTCTGAGAAGGTGAGTGCTCAGTTGTGTTCAGAAGTGTCCACAGTGCCCTACTGGACATGAAATGAAAAGCAGAAGCAGCAGCAGCAGAGAGAGATGTCAGTGGTTGGACTGCCAAGGGGCAGCTGCTTTCCTTGAGGACCTTCAGGTAGAGTGGGGGCCACTGGCAGCTGTCCGCTTCAGGGCTCTGTAGGTCCCATGGGCAGTTGCTGGGGCCTCCCCTCTGTGGCCAAGTCACAGGAGCTGGTGTCCACTGCATCTAGCCCTGTCCATGGTGAGCCTCACACTTTCTGCAGGGGCTCCAGCACTCTCAGGTCAGGATACTGAGGCCCAGGACAGTGGCCACCTCATGAGCACCCCAGACCCTGAAGCTACGGGAATGTAACTGCTGGTTCTCAGGGCTTAGGAGATGCTGGGGCCCCTCTTGAGTCTGCCCAGGGGACATCCCCTGCCTTGCCCTCAGGGGCTGCCCTGGTGGGATAACTTTTGCTTTCTTGCTTTCTTTTTTTAAATATTTACTTTTTAGTTGTAGTTGGACACAATACCTTTATTTCACTTATTTATTTTTATGTGGTGCTGATGATTGAACCTAGGGCTTCACACATGCTAGGCGAGCGTCCTGCCACTGAGCCACAACCCAGGTCTCGACTTTTGCTTTCTTTTGGCAGGAAGGAACCTGTGTGGTAATCCCCAGAGTGAGTCACCTTTTTCTGAGCTGAGCCAGTGGCCACTTCCCATTCAGAGCACCTCTTGAGTCTCGTAAGTCTCAACTCTGTACACAGGCCTGTTCTCAGAATGGAAAAAAAAGTGTGAAAACCCTCTGAACACAGGAAAGTCTAAAATAAATGAAGGTATTTTTGTGACAGAAGCACTGCCACACTGGTACTGGTATTGTCCCCGTGGCCCTGAAGTGCTATCAGCATTTGTCTTGCTGGGAAATTTTTTTTTTTCCAGTATTGGGCATTGAGCCCAGGGCCTCCCTCATACATGCTAATAAGCACTCTGACACTGAGCTACACYCCTGTCCTTGGGGAAACCTCTGGATGTAGATGGGGCTGAGGTAGTCTTGAGCCCCTTCCCTCTGGATGTCGCCATCCTGCCAGGGGTTCTAACTCCCAAGGAAGGGCCCACTGCCTGAAGGCTGGGCGTGCAGTGCAGCCGCGCTCAGGCCTTTTTCTTGTTGTGCTGGGGCGCAAATTCAGGGCCTTGTGCTTTTTGGACAAGTGCTCTACCGCTGGGTTACATTCCCAGCCCACAACTTTCCCATTTTACTCTGAGGAAGTATCTGAGCTCTGCTGCAGGTAGACCCCTTCATTCTGGGATGCTGGATTCTCAGGACCTAGATGCAGCTGGGAGGAGACCCTCCTTGTGCCTCAGAGCAGTTAGTTTCTGGGCTTGAATGAGATTCTCCTGACCTTGCAGGTGAGAACTCTATTTCCAGGGCTGTTTGCAACTTCCATGAAGCTAACTGTCCTGGTAACTCTCTGAATTCTATCTGAGGCAGGGAGGCCTTGCTGTCATGTCCCAGGAAGCGAGTTTCAGGTGGGGGAAGTTCCAACTCCAAACCATGACGTGGTGCAAGCAGTGTGGTCTAATAAACCACCCCACCTTTCAGCCCATTCCATCCTTGAGCAGTTTCCAAGGCTTCCCAGGGACCTTACCTCTGAACCTTCTTTCTTTCCAGCCCAGGGAGAGAGCTGTGGCAACTCACGGAACACAAGAGTGTCTGCTCATTTTTTGGCAAAGCCCACGCGCTATCCTGTCCAATGCTGGCTGATCCCTTATGGAGATGACGGAGTCAGCCCTCCCAGCGATGCCTCCTTCTAGATGTTCCTATTTGCTTGTTCCACATTTCCATGTGTCAAAAAGGCAGAGGAGACGCTTTTCTTTGGTGGTAAATTTCACACAACATAAGAAAGGACCATTTAAATCTTTTGCGGTGTACAATCCAGTTAGTTCTAGATGTCTCACTATCCCCAAAAGAGACTATGCCTCTGTTCCGGCGATTCGAGCCTTCGTGGGGATGGGAGTATGGAGCGAGAGAGCCTCAGGCTGGCCCTCGCAGTCCGGACCTCACAGCAGATTTAGCACGCTGGACTCCGCGACCGCTTGCAACCTGCGAGAGCAAACTTAAGTTTCAAGCTGCTGCAGCGCCGACCAATCGGCGCCTGCTGCGGCTCCCTGAACGCTCGTGGTGGGCCCTCGTGTCAATCCGTCAGGAGGCGAGCCCACGGCAGGCGACTGCGACCAATAGGCGCTCTCCGCGGCTCCTTTCGCGTTCGTGGTAGGCTCGCGCGTCAGTCCATCAGGAGGGTTTGGGGCGGGGCGGGCCGACAGCGGCGGGGGCGGCGGCCGCGCGGGCGCCGAGTTCCGGGCGCTCAGAGACCGTTGGGTGAGGCATCGCGGGTCCGGGTCGGGGCGGGCCCGGCGCGGGGTCCGGCTGGAGTCCGGGGCAGCGGCGGGGTCGCGGGCGGGGTCGCGGGCGGACGCGCAGCCGCCGCTGTTTGAGGGGACTTCTCGGAGCGGAGGAGCCGGAAACCGAAAGTCGGGGGTGGGGCGGGAAAGTTCGCGACGCTCGCGGCCGTGCCGACGGCGCGGGCCCTGGGGTGCGCGGCACGGGCCGCTGTCCCGTGGTCTCGGCCGCTGGGTCCCGGGGCCCTGCCCGACCCTTTCGTCGTGGCCGCGGGATGCCACAGCCCTGACTTGGACCTGCTGCCGCCTGGTCCCTCAGGGCCACCTCTGCAGCTGGCCTCTTGCCCCCGGGGCTTTCCCATCTGTGGGTTCAGGCGCGGGTCCCCCCGCTCCCCGGGCCTCGCTKGGACCCAGGCCCCTTTCCTGACTCAGGCCTTTCTGCCCAGAGGACCCCCAGCCCTGTCCTCCGCCTCGGCTCCGCCCCGCCCCCAGTCCTTCAGCTGTTTCCCGGGAGAGGTGGGTGGGCAGGATGGGCGGGCGGTGGTGCGGGTGCTGTGTTGAGCCCAGGCCAGCTGAGCCGTGCAGTGCAGCCGCGCAGGGCGCCTACCTGGGAGGTAGTGGGAGAGCATGGAGGCCTGGCAATGGCCTAGACTTTGGACTCGTGCCTCGGAGTTGGCCTCCTGGCAGGCTGCCTACGAGCCAAGTGCTGGTAGTAGAAGGGGCTGGTTCAGGTTTAAGGAGGGTTATCCTGGAAGACCAAGACCCTTGGGGAAAGGTGGCAGTTGGGGGTGGGTATGACAGGTGGAGTTGGGGTTCTTGGTGGAGGAGAGGTCCTGACTGAATCCTGTGTTAAAGGTCCTTGCTGCAGGGAGGAGAGTGAGGCCAGGAGGGCCTGGGTGGCCGCAGGGAAGCTGGTGCATTGGTCAGGGCCTGAACTGTCCTTAGACACATTTGGGGATATTTACAGAGTTGCTGACCAATCCCTGACACTCCACATGAAGTGGTCAGGGAGCAGAGTTCCTATAGCCAGTGCCATCAGAAAACAGACCCTATCATGTACCCACATGATCTCAAAGAAACACTATTGCTTCATAGTTTAAATAACCTCTCTGTTGGTAAGCCTATTGTATGCATGTGTGTGTGGTCCTGGGACTGGAACCCAGGGCCTCACAAGTGCTAGGCCAGCACTCTACCACTGAGCCACACCACAGCCCAGTGACCTAGCTTTTAATAAGAGAAACTAAATACTGATTGTATGAATAAACATCATCCAACACTTGTCCTTTCCCACAGCTTTTGCTTGTGATATTTTTGTAGAAAATATCCTCAGGTATTCAAATTGGTACAAGTTTCTGTTTGCTATTATGTTGTGCCTGAAAAAAAAAAAAAGATGAGGTTAGGTATAAAATTATAATTTTGAAGTGGATTTCTAGTACTTTGAGGGGCCTCATACTTGGGCTGTGTGCAGATTAAATCTTGCCTATTATGTACATGGGTTAGAAGTATGCAAGAGCAAGTGGACTACTATGTGGAATCTTAAAATTGTATGAAACAGTAGTGGGCCATTGGTGGAAACACACATTTGGGGAGCTTGAATCCCTAGCATTTGGGTTATTCCGGAGTCTGCTGTTTGAAGAATAAGGCTCTGGCATAAACATCAACATTGGCCAGGGGCAAGGCAGTGCCACCCCACATGGCCAGGTTGCATCCTTAGCTGCTTTTGATGTCTTGGTTTGGGCAATGTTGATTTTCATAACATACAATCTGCTTTTTGGGGTTTGCAACAGTATTACTCAGCCATGTTCACATTCCAGATTAGGGGTGTTGAATCTTAAGTGCAAGCTTAGGTGATTTCAGCCTCATTAGGGTCACAGAGTATTCTTGGGGGCATGTCCCTATTTCCCTTTGCTTGCTGCTCTTTCCCCTAGACAGTGGCCCAGGACTATAGTACCTGGGCTGGAGCTGGACTTATGTAGGGCACATGCTGCCAGGTTCTCCCTGTAGCAGAGGGAAGGGGCAGGCAGCAGCCAGGTGCTGATAGCCCACAATCTCCGGGGTGGCTGGGGGGCCCATTATTGAGGTTTCTCTTTGCCACTCTTTGATATTTAGGAGATTGGATTATTTTGGAGAAGGAGGCATGTGTCTGTGGTAATTAAGCACATCACCATCTTTTTTTAGCTCTTTGGAAATAGAAATTCAGCTTTATGTTTTTGTGAATAAATTCTAAGTAGTCAGCCATGTATATTTTTGTCTGCATGTACATCATTTTTAGTACCCTTGAAGGCTTCTTCCTCACCCTGAAGGGCAACACTGACCTCCAGAGATAATGACCACTCAACTTCTGTCATCACAGGTTTGTTTTGCCTAGCCTTGAACTGCACATAACTGGTGCCATTCCCCAAATACTGTTTTGTGTCTGGTAGACATGCCCTTTTTTTTCCTTTTTTGGCAGTATTGGGGATGGAACCCAGGGCTTCCTCCGTGCTAGACAAGTACTTTATCATTGAGCCATACCCCTAGCCCTTTTTATTTTGAAATGACATCTTGCTAAGTTTCTGTGGCTGGCCTGGAACTTGGGATGCTCCTGCCTCAGCCTCTTTGAGTAGCTGGGGTTGTAGGTGTGCACCACCCTGCCTGGCTTGGGATGCCCTTTTAGTAAAATGTAAGTCTTCTATATGAAGCTAGAGCATTTGTATGTGGACTACAGTTGAGAGTGAGGAAATCAGAACTTCCTATGACCACCCCCCACACACACACACATACTCTCTCTTTCTCTCTCTCAAATACATGTGGATGTCAGTTCTGTTCTCAAGCCACTGCTCTGATAGAGCACGACTTCACAGTAAAACCAATCTGGAACCTGAAAGGTCTGCAGTGTAACTTTTTTATTTTTTATTTTTGCTACTGGGGATTGAACCCCCAGCCCATTTTTAATGTTTAATTTTGAGACAGGGTCTTGCTAAGTTGCTGTGGCTGGCCTTGAACTTGGAATCCTTCTACCTCAGGCTTCAACTGCTTGGATTATAGGCATGTGCCAGCATTGCCCAGCTGCAGTGGCTCATGAAATCAGTTAAGCAGCTTCTATCCAAAAAAAAAAAAAAAAAAAGGAATAAAATAGAAAATTCAGAATACCGCTCATGAAGAGTAAGTATAGTTTAACGAGCCTTTTGTTTCAGTTGCATATGTAGATACTGTAAGTCACACAGGACCACTGGAAGCTGTAAACTAAGGGTGCTGTCTTGTTGTGTGCTGTGGAGGTAAGCAGGATTGCCTTTGT